TGCTTATAGCGAAATGTTAATTGATTTAACATGCAACAATTTTAGGTTATAAAAATTAAAAGTTAATACTACAATAAATTCTAATTTTCTGCAAAACAATTAAAAATAAAATATTAAATGTTAAACTACATTTACTTTAAAATTTATAATCTTGAAATATATACCTTATATAAATGTTTAATTAAAATTATTTGCACACACATACCACGTTGCATACGAATATTTCACAAGCACAAAGTAAGCTTTTTACTTGCTCTTGCTCTTAGTGCAGTCAGTTCAGTTCATGTTCCTCATGGTACAGACTAAAAAAGAACAGATTTAAGATGGCGACGAAATGTTGCAAGTTATTCCATTCGGCAAACCTCCTCCTTCGTGGAACATTTTTCGTGACCAACTTTTTTTCTCTATACGCTATCTAGTTACGTCTCCTTACTTTTACTTCGTGATTCCAACATAATTCTTTATCTCGTACAACGACATTCGCTATGCACTTAAGAACATAACAATATTATTATTATTAAATAAATTAATTATTGATTGAGTAATTATAAAATAACAATCTATTCTCTGGAATAAAAACAAAATAACAATTTTATCTGTTTATTATAATAGAATAAATTTGTGTAATTAACGTAAGACTATAACACCAAATTTATTAATGACAAATGTCCTACAATAAATTAAACACATATACATATACTATATAGTTACGTACTTATTGTCACAAAGTCCCATAACTCGCTGTCCATTGCCATCGTAACCTACATATTCCAATCCAAGACTCATGTCCTGAAGTCGATTCGACTTAATGAAATCAGATGTTAATTTGCCAGTTGCTAGCATTACATCTCTGAAATTGATAGACGAATAAATCACACGTACTATATCTTTGCCATCAGAATCGATTGATATATCGTTTTCCATCCAACAAAAAGAACTTAAATCGCCTCGAACCTGTAGAAAAATATTTGTTAAACAAATAAATATATTTGTTAGATAAAGCGCAAGATTTTTTAGACAAATTTTCTAAAATATTTAAAACAAAATAATTCGCAATATTATTGTGTCAATAGCACATTAATAGATTATTTAAAATTCGGCAAATGGTTTTATATACCGTTTGGCATACATAGGCGGCATTTACGGATTCGACTTCTGGATGCGGTAATCGCAAATGTCGGTAAGATCCCCAAGTTTTATTAGGTCGCAAAACGTTAACAATCATATCTTTTTGTAATTGTTGCATATAGAACGGATCTTGTAGAGAAAATTTAGAAGCATGTTTGTCTTGAATAAGCACACCTCTAACCAACTCTCCACCAGGCTCTTTCCTCAAGCAGTTAACAAAACCCAATAATCCGCATTCAAAGTCCCCCTCTCCAACAATTACAATTCTGCTATTGCCATCGTGTTTCTTCTCGTTTCTTTCGTCTACACGTTGCTTCAAATCTTCGAGCCAATTGAAAATTATTATTATTGATATAAACAACAATTGTTTTTGTTATTATAACCTTTTTCTTCAATAGTATAATTATTTCTTTATCCGTACGTTTTTCCAGAATAACATTTAATGCATATTCACTTAAATATTTTTCATATTTATTTAGATTGCATTTCTCGCGTGTTAAGAGATAACCGCCATCTCTCAAAAGCGGCAAAAGTTTTTCTAATGAATTCTGATGTTTCGTCAAAAGATTAAATCCTGTAGCTATCAAAGCTTTGTCGCTTATAAGTGGTTTGTTTAAATCTGCGATCGAAACATTTGAAGACAGTTGTACTGGATTAAAACGATTCGACGATGTTAGTATAGCAACATTTGCTTGTATTAAAGGAATATCAGCAAGAGCTTCAATCAGTAACGTTGATGATAGATCTTCTAACATTACATCATCTGCATCTTCCACTAGCTCTATGGCTGTTGCTTTAATGATCTGATGATCCTCTAGCGCCAGCTGCGTCGATATTCGAATTGCTTTATTTAACGAAATATCGGCGCAATCCTGGTGAGTTATAAATTTATGTTCCTCGATGACGGGATCTCCGATTGGTTTTCGGCGAGAAATCGAGGTAGCTTTCAGGCCACGTATCTCTATTCCACCTGATTTAATTACGCCTATTTCTTTATATACACGTATTGGTAATTCTGCAATTTAATAAATTAAAGAATATTACAATTTAGATAATAATGTTTTTGTTATTTATTTAATTGTAAGTAAGAAATTTACGTTTATTTAGTTCGGATGTCATTTTCAGCAATTTTGATGCTTGAAGTGCAGGATTAATTACCAATTTTTCAATATTTGTTGGAATATATAAGTCTCTGGTATCTTTTCCAATTATATACATCTGCAGCATGTTGTCCATGAATGTTACCCAATTACCTGTCCAAGCAATGTGCCCTTTGCTGCCTGAGAGTGATACGCTTTTTAAGCCACAAAATGCATCTCTGTATTGATAACCGCGTAGCCTTAATTCCTTGTAAATGTCTTGAAAAGTCATATGTTCTTCCTCGTCAGTATCCACCGATAACAGATTATTCGGCACCATTTCTTGTTCAGCATTTGATACAGCGTGTACTACACCTGTTACAACAACGCTGTCTCTTATAGTGACTTCAAATTTGCCGCTTTCTACAATAATTTTGCATCGACTGTTACATGTTGTTATAATATTATTTAAAGTTTTTGTGAAGAATAAAATTTTACACATACCTTTCTGTATCGTTATTGTCAAATTCACAGAACCTTCGTTCGATAAATGTGTAGCCCTAATAAATTTTATATCTTGAAATACTATGGTTATTGAATTATACATTTTGCTCATCATCATTCCAATGGTTTCCCAAACAAGCACTAGATAGCCTGTCGCAGGTAACAAATTTTTTCCGTCAATGACGTGACCGGTCATAAAGCCATATTCTTCGCCATTCGTCAAAATTTCTATTTGTCTTGCTCTGGATTTGATTATTTTCTGTGTTTCTTTTGTACGTACATACCAATCTTCAGAATGATTCCATCTGATGGTATTAAAACGTTTGTTCATACAGTTATGTGTTTATTTACATATGCAATATATTAATTTAAAAATATATAAAAAGAATTTTTTAATTAGGCTCAGTTTTTCAATTAAAACTTCAAAATGGTGATACACGCTTATTTATTGAGCCTTAGCTTGTTCTAGGTGCTATTTATTAATATATTTTACATGTGTTTGTCGTATATTTTACATCTAATTGTCGAACGTTTCGGCACCTTTTTTTGGGCCTTCTTCAGCGAATCTAATTTTTGTTGCGTCTCTTAGTCAAAATTTAACAGGTTGTTTTTTGGTGTAGGTCTCTTTTGTCCATTTTTACGAACTTTTTGTCCACCTCTTGCTTTTTCCTCGTGTGTCAGACATGGCAACTTAATTCTTCTGACTGTCTGGATTGATTTTTATTGTGACTTGTTACTTTTGGTGTTGTTTGTTTCATGAAACGTACGTGTATTAGTACAGTGTATTAGTGTTGTTCGTTTCATGAAACGAACAACACCAAAAGTA